TATTGTCAAAATGTAATGCCTACTATTCACTCATTCACCAAAAAGATTCGATGTGTATACTGAATATAAACTTCGAAATATCATTGACAAAATATAGCAATATATATTAAGTGCATGTTTCATCTTTCACACACACACACACACACACACACACCAATTATTAGTAAAAACAAGCACATCGCGATTAAAAATAATCGCTTTACAAATTGACAATACAAATGGAAAGCAATTCTATAATAATAATCCATTGGAAAGATTTGAGTACAGGTAAGAGTTTCCTAATTGTTATACTTAAGCAACTATTTTATGTACAGATATACAAACTTCAAATAAAATTAAAAGTTGTAGGTGATGGAAACATTTCATCCGTTCAAAATAACTTTATTAGTTACGAAACTTTGCCCATATTTAACCGTCAATTTGTTTTTCTTCATTTTTGGATTTAAGGAAATAGAAGAGTAAAATAATATACACACAGCAAAAAAAAGGGTAGACACTATTTATAGTTTAAAATGTTCATAAAAACCGTCAATAAATTATAATAAAATATGTATTGAATTAGAGAAAATTAAATACCAAACCAAAATCAATATTTCATGAAGAGCAAGTTTTGAACTTTCACGCTTGGATGGGCAGATTCATTTAACCGTTTGAAGGGCTGATTAAGAAAATTGCAAAAATAGAGCGGTAGCCATTCGAATGTTATTGAAAATAAAATTATGCATCTGCAAGACATTCTTTTTCAACCTTAACAACAAAGAAAGAGAACAAATGAGGAGGATTTAGCCGATGTCTACTGGGGTCTCAGAACTGCTTCTCCTTTCGTGTTTCTCGATTTTTTTTTCTTTCTAATTTCATTGTTTTAATTTGACTCTATACAACATGGAAATGCTCATCAACATATGAATGAGCAGATGCCCCATTTTGCCTATTTATAAAGACTCATTTTGTATTAAATGTCTATACTCACTCATGTGTGAATGGTATGATTCAAATTAAAGGGGATTAATTTGTGTTTATTTTGATATATAAAGATAAGTTTAAATCAAGTAGTCATTCGAAAACCTTAATATTAATGTCTGTTTTCTCTTTTGTTGTTGCTGAAGGTATGAATACAAAAAGTGTCGTAAGTCTACGATAATTCCCTGAAAAAGGACATACAATGTTAACTATGAAAATAGAATATATTTGATAACAATACTAGTAAGAATATAGATGAGCGATGGAATTTTGCAACCATCATTTCATTCTATAAATCACGTTACCATGATTCAATAAGCAAGTCATTTTGACACAATATTTTGTGTGACTTAGTATTGTGTATACTCTTTTACCTGATACATTAATTGTGACATGCTTTCTTTCATTTGAAATTATTTATTATTTGCTGCCATTTTACTAGTAAACACCCTCGTGTCTCATGACGTAAACATAGTTATCTCTGATCCATTCAATTAATCAAATTTCTTTCTCATTATGCTATACTCATACAAAAATACGAGGTATCTCTTCATTTCACAAAACCTGATAATCTGCATCAAAATAGAATCTTGAATAATCGTGAAAAATATCCTTTCTCAATGTTAAAAATAATATTAGAAGAATAAAATATTTTAGAAGTATACACTATTACGAGATATGAATCCTACTTTTTCCATTCCTTCAATGATGTTAACAAATGGAGGCAGTTCTGGTATGACCCGCACGACTTTGAAAATGATCTCTTTCTTTTACCATCAAAAGGAGGTGTTTGAGGCTCTGAGGGCGGTGGTAATCGAGGCCGATTGTCCATTAGCCTCATGTATTCTTCTACAGGCAAATGCTCCTGGAACACTTTTAGTGACTCTGCCAAAGAAGAAAGGAAAACAATTAAATTAAGGTATATAGTACATGTACAAAACTTCAAATTCGTCTAATAAACAATTGATAAAAAGGAGATATATTAATCTGACCTTTTGGAAACTGTCAAAGCGATTTTTACTGCATAAGTCCAGTATCAAAGTTATTTAATGAAGAAAAAAAAAGGGAAAAAAACCAAGTAGCGATATTAGGCGATTGAATTTGATAAACCGGTTTATTTACGAAAAAAGACCACAAAAAAAAAAAAAAATCTCTTCCTTTTCCAATCTTTAAAACTTATGCATTTGATTGGATTGTTGAAATATATTCATCGTTTTGCTTCGCACCAAAGTCATGTAAAGTGGAGTTTTTAAATGGTTCAAATAATCAGTAAGTAAGTCGCATGCATGCAACAGATTACAGAAGACTGTGATGGCGTATATTCTAACTAATTTATTCAGTAACGTATCCCGACTTTGGCCACAGGAGAGGAAAACAATCTCAACTTATTTGTTATCCAGATGTTTTGAGTCAAGAATTCACTTTTTGAGGGCCTCCATTTGCGTTACCGGGGGTGGGGAATTATCAAGAATGATTTATTTACATAGATTATAACTTATTTCGTGCGGTTTGTTTGTTTGTTTGTCTGTTGTACTTATAATGACTCCATTACCTGTTAAATATTAGGGTTAGAAAATAGTTGCTGCGTTTGATTTTCTTGGTCGTAAATCCGTCAAGAGGGGCGAAATCCCCCTTGCTTCACATTTAAATACGCACAAGTAACTGTCTCACTTTCTTTTTAACGCCATTGCGTGGGGAAATTCAATTATTATAACAACACAACCAACACTTCGACCACTCGAGAAATCAAAATGGTTAACATGCTTAAATGTTTCCTAAAATGAATTTAAATCCGCATGAGTGACAGCCCAAGAGAAATGTACATAGTTTAGATTTCCCGAATTTCCGCTTTTCTGGAAAATAAATACATATCCACAAGAGAAATCAGACTACAACAAACTAATAGTTTTTGCATTTAATTTATTTTAAACTTTACAAAAAAATAGATATATCCTGTGTGCCCGCATCATCCGAGAAAAAGGAAAAAACACGAGCGCTTCGACTTAAAGAATAAATAATGCGAAGACAAATTTCGATAGCCCAGTGCGTCACTTTATGAAATCTACGAACGTGACATTGGCATATTACGTAATCAGAACATGGTTTATATAGGCTATACAAAAGGATGTATAAGTTGCCTTAAAAATTATTTCTTGAAAGTTGTTGTGGTCGTGTTCCGAAAGAATGGATTTATGATGTAACGAGTTATGATGTAAATGCGGGCGGTATGTTAAGATTATACATCTGCTCTACTGGATCACTATACACTGCAAAAACCAGGGTGTTGAATTTCTAACACAAGCGCGGAATAGAAAAAAAAAAAACCCTTGGTGTTAATTTCACGTCCGTTCAACACCAACAGAGTGTCGAAATATTTAATTACAGGTTGATGTTCGGAGTCTTGGTGTTATGGTGAGGAACTTGCGCATGCGCATAAGTTAGTGGATTCGAGCAAAATCATTGGACGACAGTTGTCATAAATTATGATATGACGTCCTATCGTGCATGCGCACGCGCGAGCTAGCTGTCAAGAATCTCTTCGGGATATCGTGGTTATGGAATTTTTTGTCAAGGTCTGAATATCCTATTTCATCAGCGCAAACATGCCGTTAAGTGTGAACATTTGTTCTGCAGACAGAAAAGTTAGAAAATTGTTACAATTAAATCCAACAGACATCGCAGGATACTTTGAATTGAGTGTTAAATCATTGGTATTGATTTTAACTAAAAAATCAGGATTAAATTCTACACACCACTGGTGTTGAAAGAAATGGTGTTGGATTTTTGAACACCAAAACTAGAATTGAACTTTAACACCAAGTTGAAATAATGGTGTTAGAATTTAACACTAAAGGCGGAATTACTTCAACACCAAGAGTGGAAATGAATTGTTTAATTCCAAACCCTGGTGTTAAATAACACCAGCTGGTGTTTTCCGATATAGATACCGGGATGGTGTTAAAATTAACACCCATGGTGTTAAATTTAACACCCTTGTTTTTGCAGTGTACGAGACCATTCTTAAAATCAATGTTACCTCTTATAAAACTGAAGAATTTATTATTTATAACCATATTGTGATAATTTATGCAAAAATAGCATATTCTTCAAATCAGAATATAGAGTTAGTACTCTACCCTTTTAAACTTTGTTCAAATAAAAACTGCCTACATTAAGACAGAATTTTTAATGAAGTCTCATGTTATTTGGTCCAAAGGTTTTACATTCCTTACGGAATGATGTAGACTTAACAAATTTTGTATGAGCCTGAAGCAAGCGAGGTGTCAATTCCATTGCGCCAATCGTTCACTATATAAAATAGTTAGACATTTCTTTTTTATGTTATCTAAAAAGTAATCGGATTGAGCAAAACACATACTGGCTACGGTACAACAACAGCTACAAATACAAATTTGAAATGACGTTTTTTATTCTGACTATACCATAATCAATAATGAAGAACTTTCGGATGTTAACGAACGCTGAAGACCATTAGTTGAGAACCCATCCCAAATCTACACGATTGAATTGTGTACTCTTCATTCAAGTATTATTGTAGTATATGTGAAAAGCGCTTAGAGACATTTGTATTAAGCGCTATAAAAAAATTAAATAGTATTATTATCATTATTATTATTATTATTGTTGCAAAGTGATTTGGGAATGGAGTATAGTGGGTATATATTTCCAAAATGCTTACATTTTTACAAATTTTATGAACGGTAGCGGAGCTACATGGGGCATATGTAGGGAGGCACTTGCCCCCTCTCCCACATCGAATAATGAAAAGAAATAGGAGAAAAAGTGAAAAACATAGAGAGAAGAAAGAGAGGGGAAAAAGATCATAAGAGCCCCTTCTGCAGCTTTCCCCTTAGGCCTCGTTAATGTTTGACCCCTGGTCTTCAGATCCCCACCCCCCCCCCCCCCCCCAACCCCTTGATGGCAATGACCCCGCAATGACTGGACTCAAGCTTCGCCACTGTTTATGATGGAAAAAAGGAAGAAAACAAAAATACATCCAGGAATGTACGTACCTTCTGCACGAACTGGAGTATCTCCTATTTTTTCTAAATTATCTTTGTCGACGTTTGTTAGAGAGGAGGTCCGTCCCGAGGATGGAAAATTTGGTTGAGGAGGAAAATTCGGACGTGGCGGAAAGTTCGGACGTGGTGGAAAGTTCGGACGAGCAGGATAATTCGGACGGGGTGGGAAAAATGGAACTGGATCCGTTGTCGTCGTCGTCGTCGCAGAAGTATTAGATGTCATCGTTGTTTGATCCCGTCGGGGGTTGCTTAATTGCGGTGTTCTTTGTGAAGTGGATGTGATATTTTCTGGGATGTTTTCTTGTTGTGCATTATGTCCACAGGATTGACTGGATGAGCAAAATGTGTTGTTTTCATGTAAAACAGACACTAGTGACGTTGAAGTCTTGGTTTGGTTGTCATTATCGTCATCTCCATTCATCTGTCTACTGTAATCTGTTAATTTAAAACAAGTTGAAGATAAGCGCCAAAAATATTGTCAATTCACGGTTTTCGATATTTCTTTTTCAATGTTACGACATTTTGTCAACCCTTGTCGACATACTTAAAATGTTGACTACTGTTTTGCCTGACAGAAATAATACACTTTTTAAAGTCACCCCCACCAGGCGAAATTTAATTTATACACGTATGTCCCTCCCTATCTTATTATACTGAAACCCTTCATTTCAATTCAATTTTAAAAAAATAGTTTTTATTATAGCACAAACATGGTTCATACAATATCCAGGTTTACACGTTAGGCATGATAGATAACACTTTTCATGATATACATGTCAAAAACTAGCAATATAAACCATAAAAAGTTTTCAGAAATACAACAAAAACATACGAAAGACCATTAGTGCCACGAAGAAAAAAAAACACACTTTCTACTAATCTGTTTAAACAGATTACGATATTTCTTCTAATCTGTTTAAACAGATTATAATCTGTTTAAACAGATTACGGTATTTCTACTAATCTGTTTAAACAGATTACGGTATTTCTACTAATCTGTTTAAACAGATTACGATATTTCTTCTAATCTGTTTAAACAGATTATAATCTGTTTAAACAGATTACGGTATTTCTACTAATCTGTTTAAACAGATTACGGTATTTCTACTAATCTGTTTAAACAGATTACAGTACTTCAACTAATCTGTTTAAACAGATTATAATCTGTTTAAACAGATTACGGTATTTCTACTAATCTGTTATAACAGATTACGATATTTCTTCTAATCTGTTTAAACAGATTATAATCTGTTTAAACAGATTACGGTATTTCCACTAATCTGTTATAACAGATTACGATATTTCTTCTAATCTGTTTAAACAGATTATAATCTGTTTAAACAGATTACGGTATTTCCACTAATCTGTTATAACAGATTACGATATTTCTTCTAATCTGTTTAAACAGATTACATTACTTCAACTAATCTGTTTAAACAGATTACGGATCCTACTTTTGTCACTTCCCCTGGCCTGCGCTGCGCGTTTTAGTGGCTGTGATGACGTCACCCGCACGCGAATTTTTTTTCCGTACTCGAGAGGGCAAATACCCCATGTGCGCATGCGCGTGGACTTGTGATTTCTCTGCTACTTCCCATACGAAATGTACATGTATTCGCATGTACTGTGCACGATTCGCGTTCTACGAGTAAACGATGGCATAGTAGTCTTCAAACACAGACTCTGATTTGCCAGTTTGACAAAACAATTACGCATATATCGTGCGTAGCAATAGTACTAGTATTCAAGTCTGTGTAGTTGTATGATTCAGACCCAGTAGTGCATATGGAAATACATTGCAACTTGTATAGAATGGTATAGTAGTCTGCAAGCACAGACGCTAATCTGACAGTTTGACAACATACTAGTAGTGTGCTGAGAAGTACTTTATTCAAGTCGCCAACTTGTATAGAATGGTATAGTAGTCTGCAAGCACAGACGCTAATCTGACAGTTTGACAACATACTAGTAGTGTGCTGAGAAGTACTTTATTCAAGTCTGCGTAGATGTATGATTCAGACCCTACTGGTGCGTGCGTTAGAAATGCATCTCAATGTGTAGAGTGTAGTATAGTAGTCTGCAAGGACATAATAATATATTGTGTATTGATGAGTAGTGATTTTATGCAAGTTTGTGTAGTTTAATGATTCCAGACCCCATGGTAGGCCTATGTATTGTGCCACTGCTCTCTCACACTCTTTCTCTCTCTCTCTCTCTCTCTCTCCATATCTCTCTCTCTTTCTCTCTCTCTCTCTCTCTCTCTCTAGCCCTCCCTCCAGTATGCTCGCACTCTCTGTATTACTTTTATTTATAATCATGGTCTGCTGAGAGCCAGAAGGATGTTAACTCTTAACACAACGAATGCCCTTCTGGCTCTGAACAAACCCACACACCATGAGGTCATTTATTGGCCTTCTCAAAACCGTCATTCTGTAATAATATTTCTAACTTTGGTCTAATAACTCCTTTGTCAGTATAATCCATGGTCAAATTAATAATAAAATCGTGATAGAACAAACACACATGATGAAATAAATGATTCAATCATCTTGATTGTGGGCACGAACGGAAAGACAAAGCAAGACAAATATTCAGTTGTAAAATTGATTCGACACATTCCGCACTTAGGCCTAGCCTATAATGTTTTCTTCTTCAGAAATCAATAAAATTGAATCTGGTGTAGCACTATAGGCCCAAAATATTGATGCTCAACGGAGTTATTCATTTTATCCTTTTTTCCCGTCTAGATCTAGGCCTACTCCTATATCGAAAAAGAATTCGACTCAGAATGCCCTGCTCTTTATTATTACAATTATTTGTTTAATATAGGGCCTAGGCCTAAGTTGTCATTATTTTTATCATGATTTGTGACCAGACTCAGAATTTCACGTGCCGGATATTTGCCGTTAGATGTGTGCATGCATTTTGACGCCAATGGAAAACAAATTTGTATCTAAACAGTTAGATGACCCCCTATTTTATTACCCGATCGAGAGCTATTTTGTACATAGTTATAAATAAAAGTAATACAGAGAGTGCGAGCATACTGGAGGGAGAGCTAGAGAGAGAGAAAGAGAGAGAGAGAGAGAGAGAGTGAGAGAGCAGTGGCACAACACAGAAAACTACGAAAACTTGAATAAAAGCACTACTCAATACACAATAGGCCTATATTATTCTGTCAAACTGTCAAAGGAGAGTCTGTGCTTGCATACTACTATGCCACTCTATAAGTTGAGGTGCATTTCCAATACACGCACCAGTAGGGTCTGAATCATAAAACTACTCAGACTTGAATAACACTATTTTGTCAAACTGTCAGATTAGCGTCTGTGCTTGCAGACTACTATGCCACTCTGCAAGTTGAGATGCCTTTCCAATACACGCACCAGTAGGGTCTGAATCATAAAACTACACATATTTGAATATAAAGCACTACTCAAGACACTATGTTGTCAAACTGTCCGATTAGCGTCTGTGCTTGCAGACTACTATACCATGCTATTCAATTTGGGATGCATTTCTGTAAGCACTAAAATGTCTGAATCATACAACTACTCAGACTTGAATACTAGTACTATTGCTACGCACGATATATGCGTAATTGTTTTGTCAAACTGGCAAATCAGAGTCTGTGTTTGAAGACTACTATGCCATCGTTTACTCGTAGAACGCGAATCGTGCACAGTACATGCGAATACATGTACATTTCGTATGGGAAGTAGCAGAGAAATCACAAGTCCACGCGCATGCGCACATGGGGTATTTGCCCTCTCGAGTACGGAAAAAAAATTCGCGTGCGGGTGACGTCATCACAGCCCACTAAAACGCGCAGCGCAGGCCAGGGGAAGTGACAAAAGTAGGATCCGTAATCTGTTTAAACAGATTAGTTGAAGTAATGTAATCTGTTTAAACAGATTAGAAGAAATATCGTAATCTGTTATAACAGATTAGTGGAAATACCGTAATCTGTTTAAACAGATTATAATCTGTTTAAACAGATTAGAAGAAATATCGTAATCTGTTATAACAGATTAGTGGAAATACCGTAATCTGTTTAAACAGATTATAATCTGTTTAAACAGATTAGAAGAAATATCGTAATCTGTTATAACAGATTAGTAGAAATACCGTAATCTGTTTAAACAGATTATAATCTGTTTAAACAGATTAGTTGAAGTACTGTAATCTGTTTAAACAGATTAGTAGAAATACCGTAATCTGTTTAAACAGATTAGTAGAAATACCGTAATCTGTTTAAACAGATTATAATCTGTTTAAACAGATTAGAAGAAATATCGTAATCTGTTTAAACAGATTAGTAGAAATACCGTAATCTGTTTAAACAGATTAGTAGAAATACCGTAATCTGTTTAAACAGATTATAATCTGTTTAAACAGATTAGAAGAAATATCGTAATCTGTTTAAACAGATTAGTAGAAAGTGTGTTTTTTTTTCTTCGTGGCACTAATGGTCTTTCGTAAAAACATGACCTGTTATGTCATAAAAGTCAACGCAAGCATGGCAAAAAGATTAAAATAGATATATTTTAAACAGCCGACTTGGGGAGGGGGATACAAGCACTCGGTATACCTGCAATAAGGATACAACTTTCTTTTCTTTTTTAAACAAGTTTTTCAACTTTTTTTGAGTATATGAAACAAAAATGACAGTGGGCTATTTTTAAACCTTTTTGTTTTTAATTGAAATTGCTGATAAGTGAGAATACGGCAAAAGAAATATTAGTGTGTTTTTCTGAGGTAACCAGGTCTGACAAATAGAGTGATTTGAAAGGGATTTTGCGAATTTTCTACAAAGTGCTAGTCTCCTCTCCTCAAGAGTTGGTAAATTGCATACTTGACATGCATTAGAATAGGTAATGTAACTACGCCCTAAAATAATCTTACATACTCTACGTTGTATTTTTTCAAGATTATTATTTTGTTCTACTGTAAGACTTCTAAGGAACGCTGGAGCACAATATTCTAAAATTGGTCGTATGTAACCTGCGTATACTGTCACTAAATCCTTCAAAGGTAAATTGAATTTCTCAAGTTTTCTCAACATGTACATTTTTTATTGCCCTTTTTGACTAAGTCATTTGAACGTAAATTCCATTTTAAATCAGCTTGTATAATGACTCCAAGGATTTTGATAGTTAGTACATTGCACTATATGTTTGTGTGTAGTGCTTTCTACCCCCGCCCCGAAATATTGGTCGGCACTTTTTCGGGAGGCAAAATGATTTTTAACAAATGTTGTACTCTCTACCCCCCCCCCCGGCTCCCCCTCCCCCTCTTGGAAAATCCTAGATCCGCCACTGGGTCAACCCCCCCCCCCCCCCGCCCCTTAGCAAAAAGCTAGATCCGCCCCACTTGCATTTAGTAGGGCTCTTCCTGTTATATAATTGCTTCATTGCGCTTCCTGTTAATTTCCAACTTTGTTTATAATGTTGTGACCAAATATCTTACTTCACATTAAATAATAATAATTCCGCTTTTATATAGCGCTTAATTCAACCTGAAATTTAACTTGGTTTTAATAAAAACAGAAAAATGAGAGAACCAAAATAGTGAACGTTTGGCAATATCCGATTAAAAAAAGGAAAGTTAGGGATTTCGAAGTTGTCATCAGTGAAACACAAATTGGCAACAACGTAAAGTAACTTGCGAGCTCTTTCATAATTTCATAAACTTTCTCAGTTATTGATGAAAAAATACATTTCTTTCATACAGAGGTTGTATAAAATCGTATTTGCAATCATTGTTAATTTAGAGTGTGTGTACGATTCAATTTTTATAAGGGAAAATGAAGGTTTTTGGGGGAAGGCAGCTCGCCAATTTGTGTTTGATTGATCTCGCCTTCAAATATACATAACTTTCTTATTTTCAACCGGTTATTCTCAAACTGTCACCGACCTGTTTTTCTCATTTTCAGCTGCTAATAAATCCAATTTAATATCGGGGTGGACTTAATCTTTAAATCATCGCCCGATGAGACATGTTATAATAGAAGATCGTAGTATAAATTTAAATAAGTGCCTTACTAAAAGACTTAACACAGTTTCTTGATGAATTAATGAATAAATAAGAAATGTATAATCATACCTGCTAATCGGTTTACCGTACACCACATCAATGACGTATATTGGCTTATACCCTACCAACGTCCAATAGTTGTTTTCTTTTTAACCTTTCAAAACATATCAGAATACCATCAACAATGGACTCATTTAGACGGCAACCACAAATTGGTAGGTTTATACATTTCACACACTTCGGCACGTGAAGACTTTTAACGCTAATTCTTATTCCATTTATTTATTTTTTTACTTCTTGTCAACTTTGACTGTGGGTTTTTTGTCGCCAATCGTGTAATGCAAAATCGTACCTCTTTTCAAAATGTTCTAGCGATAACCATACATTATTTGTCTACATTACACTTTCCTATACTTAACGATAAATGTTCAATACTGTTTGATTTATTCAGAAAGTCAAAAAGTACTTACTGAAGGAAGGCAAGAATTTAGAAGCACATTTGATGAATCTCTGATTGTCCTCTAGTTCCTCCATATCAATACTTTGAAGTGTGACGAGGAGATTGGTTGTTGTCTCAAGATGGCGCTGTAAGTTTTGTTTCAGTTCTGATATTCGATTGGCGAAGACAATGTTTACATTATTTGAGCGCTGCAGTGGTAGTGAAGGAAAACCTTGAGTTTGATCACTACTCGTAGATGACGTTGAAATATAAGGACCGTCTTCATTTTCTGAGTTTCTCCTCTGAAACATCAAGTTCATGAAAAAGTAGATTTAGGCGTTATCTTTGTAAACTATTTTTAGTCTTTTGGGGGCATAAATAAAATGCCCGCTCTGTAATGTGAGTTGTTAAAAATACTGAATTACTTTATAATGTTTTCCCGTATTTCCCCTAGATGTATTTAGGGCAAACTGGGCAAAATGGAAGGCAAATTTAAATAGCATGCCGAAAAAGCAAAAGTATATATGTCACTGAAAACATCTAGCTCATAATACGCTACCAACCCATTTATAAGTCTCAACATGCTCATCGTTGAAGGCCTTATTTTCCATCATACATTCAAACCATATTGAGGAATACTCTATTTTTCGTAACTGAATTTCATAGAAATCTATTTTCTGCCCCCATCTATCTTCACCCAATATCATGAAAAATATCTTAAAGGGGAAGTCTATCCTGATAATAAGTTGGTATTAATACAAGCAGAAACACAAGATAAACAAATTGGTAAAAGTTTGAGCAATATCCGATAAAAAATAAGAAAGTTATTAATGTTTTAAGTTGTCATCAGTGAAGCACAAACAGACAGCTCTTTGACGTAACTTGCGAAGTCCTCATCAATTTGCTTCTAACCGAAAATGTCATAAACTTTCATTTTCTTAGATATTTATGATGGAAGATATTTGTTTCTTAAAGGAGTTGTATAAAAACATATTGGCAATCATTTATTTATGTAAGATCGGAAATTTTCTAAAGTGCAAAAAAAAAGAAATTTCTTACTTTTACGTCACAAGATACGTCACTGAGTTGCCAATTAGTGTGTGATTGATCTCAAGTACACAAATTCATAATTTTCTTATTTTTAATCAGATTTTGCTCAAACGTTCATTAACTTGTCACTCTAATTTGTCTGCCTCTATTTAAACCAACTTTATAGCAGGGTGGATTTCCTCTTATAAAATGTACCTGTTTTTGTGTAGGTGAATATTGGACGTCGGACCCTGGAGATGACGAATCTTGAGTATCGGATGCATAACTTGCTTTCACCAAGCTGTACGGTCCTATTGCAGATAACAAGGGTTAAATATATCATTAAATATATATATTTGAAGAAAACAAAGGTAATGTGTTGAGGTGAAAGCTTGTTATATGAGTGCAGGATTTGGCATCCGTGTACAATTCTGAAGTACTGTTATGTTTCAATATTTCCATGGTTATTTTCTTGTGACCTTATGATTTCACAATGCAATCAATTAAAATTAGTTGGGTGTCATCTATACCGGCGACAGGCAGGCAGTGATGTTAATCATGATAAAATACGTACAGTACATGTAAAACACAGTTTTATAGCGTGTGCTTAAATAATGATGATAACTTTGTTAGGCCTAAACCATCCAAATTGTTAATGTGTAAGTAAGTGTGTGCGTTCGAGTGTGAGTGATTAGTAGGTGTGTAAGCGCTTCTTCCCTTCTAGTGTGGTACGGTATGTCACTGAAACAGCTCCCGTAGGACTTTTGTGCCAATTTTTTTTTTTTTTTTTTTCATTTTTGGATTCATTGGGGTCCAAGCTATCAGAAATTGATAGGGGTTCAAATTTTCCTGAAGACACCAAATTTCCCTATTGCGCTTTATATAAGCCATTTTGGCGCCCAATATGGATCCCACAGGAAGTGAAGGAGGGGTCAGAAAATTTGAACCCCATCATTTTTGGCCAATTGGAATCCTTTTGAAGCCAAAACAGCAAACAAATCAATTTTGGCAAAAAAATTATACGGGATTACATACCATACCGCACTATTCATCCTTCACTCTTTACTGAAAATAATGATCTATATTATGTTTACCTTTGTTATATTTCATGTTTTACTGTTTGAGTGGAAATAATTTTGAATTGAATTGAATACATTAGGCCTATGCCTATTTTATGAGATATTGTTCCCCGAAAGACTGATGTCTTTTGCCCGGAGAATTTGATTTCATGAGTTTAAATAACCTTAGCAATGACACGAATGAATTTCTGACCTATATCCAGTATCAAACGAGTTCATCTACGGAATTAATTTATTATTCGTTACGTACATCAATGATGTAAACTCGTTAAGTTAACTAGGGGCATTTATTGGAATAACTTTTTGTTTGGCAGTAGAAAATAGAATTTCACACATTATTGTCATCTTTTTTCTTCATAGAGTCAGTCTGAAATAGAACAAAAAACCGACCGTGCCATGTAATATAAATTATAGACTGACGAATCCAGTCATTATATTTTCTTTTACACGGTTTACAGTATTTCCTTTTCTTACTCGATCGCGTAACAACTAAACATACCAAGTATTTTTCTATTCCTATGGAATTGTTTTATTTGCTACTGTTTAATGATAATCGATTTTTTTTTTTTTTTTTTGTAATTTGATATGCAATGGTTTATCCAAGATTCCTGTCTATTCTATATAAATTTTGAATTTGTATGTTACATATTCCGAACCTTTGTACGGAATGAAAATTTTGATATCAATATTTTGAATGACTATTGAAAGAGAGACAGATATAATCCTTCATTTTTATGTTGACTTATTTTCTAACTGGAATATGCCTATTTAGTATTTGGATTTGCCACATGAGTCATTCGTCGTCGGTAAAAAATTTTCTTTAATATTAGTATTTACAAAATCAAATTTCAAGGAGATGTCTATAACTTGCAAAACATCAATTCAATTGAATTCATTGCATTCCAAAACATTTCATTATAAGATTTTCAATTTTGTATAATCTACTAATATTTATATCCCCGTTCTCAAATGAATTATGTATATTTTGATCATTATTCTTGAAATTAAGCATATTTTCTTCATCACATGTAATGGCTATCTCTGATTAGTTTCATCCAATGGTTACAAAACAACTTGCAACATAAGCAAACTACGTTGTGTTTTTAGTACGTACAAAAAAAAACCTACCGTTCAAAACTGTTTGGCTTACGACAATCAAAATGTGTAGTTTTTTGTGTGAAAGTGACCATTTTCTAATTGTTTCAGTTGATACATAATAATTGATCAGCATTATTATTTAAAGATACATTAAACAAGAACTATACACATGGGTAATAAGATTTCTTATGGACGACTTCTTCCTATGTGGGTCAGTTTTTGTACAAAATGTCCCTAATGGCAACAACATTTTGTGGTACAATACTTTACTCGATATGATACATTTTTAACGGTCTTGAATTTTAAAAGTGTGCTATCGAACCATCACATTTAACTCTTAACAACTAATGAAGACATTTTAATTAAACGCTATAAAGGGTGAATAGTGTTTTAAATGTGACCTATCTGGTTTGTATTCTAAGCCAAATGGTAATGCTATTGAACAATTTTAAGCGTCCTAAATAAACCTCATTTTCCTTCGTTGTATAAAATAAAAGTGTTGTAACTATCTTGGATAGAACTTATACTTATATTGTATAAGCAAGCGTCCAATAAATTAAGAAAAGGAGTTACAGAGCTCCTACATCGAATAGAAATATTTAAATAGAAGACTAAGTAGACTCACCGGCAAGAGCTAGAATAAGTAACATATGAACCAAAGGATAACCATTTGAAGGCTGCATGATTACACTTTCTTGCATGGGAATGAAGAAACACAAACAACTATGGAAAGAATGAACATCTATGAAGAACATATAGCACATGTAGACCGCGACGCCATAATTATAAGAGATAGAAGAAAAGTTTGAACAATCCCCGTGCTAGTAGCCCTTGAGCTCAAGACGAATATATGCCATGCAGATGAAAGAAGCAGCAATTGTGAGAGAATGGCCACTGTTCATCTTTTATATTTCATTTCTAGTCATGTGCGGGGGAAGATAAGAGATATATTTCTCTCCCTTTCACTACAAGAGGCATTCATTGCTTTCTCTCTCTCAATCTCACTTTGCAACGACAGGTAATTATACAAACTGGACGTGGGCGAGCTAAAGGAGTTGCTCAAAGCGAACAACGTGTAAGGCAATCAAGATAATATATCGACAAAGTAGTTTAATTCGTTCCCGTTCTGCTATGAAATGTGTTGGTTTTTTCTTTCGTCGTATTAAAAGATTTTTAATCTGTGACACTTGAATAATCATTTGGAACAAAATCATATTTACACTGGGGAGTGATCTATACAGTGTTACAACCGTAATTTTGTAAATAATATTTGATGACGAAATATTATCCAAAATAAATCTTAGAAAAAGTTTGAAAATTGCTGTTTTAAATCAACGGTCCAAACACACAATGCGGACGCACAACGCTTGGGTATACATACACACGCTAATTAGACATGCTTCCGTATAACTGCCTTGATGGGGACCAATGTTTTCTTCGGTCAAAATGAAGGACATTTAAAAAGGAATGAAACGTGTGAGCATTAAATAGTTAATTGTAAATGTAATAATAAACAAATGGGAATCAAGAAACGTCAATGGTTGTCAATTTTGTAAACGAATAACATGTTATAACAATTCTCTTTTGTAGAAATGCATTAGCATGACCTACATGATCGATGTCTCAGTACTAAAAATTGACTTTATTTCCATTAACGCTTCGTTGCGACTTCTGAAAGTACTTAATGATCTTATGTATTTCATTGAAGATTTCAGTCGTGGGCATAATTCAAAGAAAAAAATGAAAGATGAGGCACTTAAGCATGTTAAGGGCATCTTACATGCCTCGCTAAGCTGGATGAATAGTGCTAGTAAGTAGTATTGCTTTAAATGTGCTGGTGTATGGATTAATTGCCTCCGCAGGCTTACCTTGCGCAAGTAACAACTCAGTCAGATTAATGACACATCGTATGCAGCAGGCATTAAGCAACGATACATTGCGACCAAGATCATTAAGGTCTTAAGTTTGGTTCCGCAAACCAATCCTGCTAAAGCAAGGCGACAACAATATTCATTCAATTCAAATAAACATTTATTTTCTTCCATTCAATTTGACAACATATTGTTGACATCTGTTCAAACAATACAATTTATAAGTAGGAACATAAATATAATTAAAGAACTTGTATTACAAGGAAGAAGGCGCGAAACCCGATAAGCAAAAGCTTGTAATGGGTACGCCCGAATACACAAATACATTATAACGGGAAGAAAGGAAGAAAGGAAGAAACTTTATACCACGTATAGTTGATTAGTTGTTGTTTTCTTTAAGTCTTCAACTTTGACAATGATAATGACTATATTGAGGAAACTTTGTGAACTGCATCTAGATTAACAGTTCGCTCCACTTCTTAAGAAAAGCCAAACAAATCTCCTAAATATTAATCAAATAAAAAGCATGAACTACTTAAGAATCCATTGAAATTTGGCTTGTGTTGTCTCCATTAAAAAGGCTGGGTGATTGTCCACTGCGTCTACATATTGTTTTTTATTTCATGATTGATTAAATATTGTTAGATATTCCGTTTGAACGAAGAGCATTATGCTATTTCTAAATGTTGTATCGGACTTTTACTTTACTTTCTTTAAAGGATATTTGAATATTTGGAATCTTAGTTTAGCTTTCTTTTGTGAAATAGATTTGGTACGAAACATTGAAGTACTTTATTGTCGAAGTTGAATTCATGAATAAAAGAGGAGCGCAATAAATAAACAAATAACGACGGATCTCAATCTGCAAAGCGTTTGATAGCTTTAATAATTACGAACTTCTGGGCGTAGAAACTATGTAAACAATCGTATAGAGTACAATGGAAATACTCATAACTCTAAACGATCTCAGATAAGAATTATTAAGTATGGTGTCTCCCTATCCTTTTAAAGATGACAACAGTTCCTCTTTTCCCTCTTCAAGTGCTGAAAAGTTCACGTTGTATGCCAGCCCCCTCTCTCGATCCGAATCTTGACCCGTATACAACTGATAGATTTCCAACTATCAAAACATACATGAATAAGCTTTTCAACAGGATGTTTTGAATCAGTTGATTATCATGACATGAAATTGAACATGAAGATATATGACATGATATCTTGATAAACACTTTTACACTAAAGTCGTGACAGCAAAGA